TAAAATTTCCGAGCAATGGTTTTATGGTTATTGCTCGGTCATTGAAAATAGCTGCTCGTTCAATAATAGAATTGGGTATTGGTTTAAATGGCTTCTGCAGTTCTAATAATTTATGTCCAAATTTAATTTAAATATTAATTTAATAGTTTTTTAAATTTACTTTATTATATCAACTATTCTTGTCTCCCATTCAGTTGTAAAATTTTGACCATATATTGCTGCGCTCTCGGGTCTAACTACTTGGCGTATTGTTGTTATTTTTATATTTGAATGAATAAGGACATAACATTTTGATTCTCTCGTACATCTAGGGCCAGAATACGTTGTATAGTCATCTTTTTTATTGGTAATTATAACGGTATAGTGCCTCCTAATTATGATTTATTTTAAAATTAATTTAAATATTAATAATAATGTTTTTTTAATTATTACAAGCTAAACTAAAAATTTGAAGTAACTTTATACAGAATTATTGAATAATCTTTAAATGTCCCATTTTCTTTTCTTTTGCTTTTTGATAAGCTTTAACTCTTTTATGATTGATCAGATTAGTATGAACATATCAGGGGTGTCGTTCGTGCCACAAAATACGAGAAACGAGATTCACGAGATTCGAGATTCTCATAAAAATATGATATAAAACGAGATGCGAGATCTCTCTAAAAATACGAGATTTTCACGAGATACGAGATATTAAGGGAGCCAAGTTTTTCTGAGCCGCTCCATGATTTATCATATACTCTTAAGCACTAGATATCCTACTTAATACTCACAAACCATTAATATCTCTCGAAATTGATGGATTCCCAGATATTAGTGTTTAATCGGAACCGAAATTTTGACCGGACCGGATCGAATTTTAGTTCCGGATTCCGGAACCGGAACTTTTTAAGTTCCGGCCCGGACCTTTTAAAAAATTTTGCCAGCAAATTTTAAAAAATTTTTATTTTAAGTACGGTTTTCGGTTTCGCCAAATTCTTTGCTTAACCGAAATCGAGCCGATACCGCATCGAAACTTTTGGATTGTCGGATATAAGTGTTTCATATCGGAACGTGCCAGGTGAGTGCCGCCAACTGAGAGCGGGCAACTGAGAGCCGAGCCAACTGAGAACGAGCCAACTGAGTGCGGCCAACTGAGAGCTTCTTATGAGAGGACCAACTGATCCCGTAAAAATCATTACCGGAGTCCGGCAGAATTGACCGGGATTCAAGACCGAATCCGGGATTTTTTCCATTTTTCAAGAAACATTTTTTTCATTTTTATTGTTAAAATGTCGTAAGAACTGAGGGATTCGAAGTGATTAAAACGGTATTAAGAGTTGGATGAAGCGGGTTGAATTGGGATACCGATGTTATCCGGTAATCTGGACAAATATCGGTGATGCCTGATTCCGGATTTGGAAATGGAGCCGGACCTGATCCGGCCGGACTTTTCTAGATTAATCCGGTCCGAAAAAATCCAGATGGACCCTTTTATTAGTGTCTCTCAGTTGGCCGCCCTCAGTTCTCAGTTGGCCGCCCTCAGTTGGCCGCTCGGCTCTCAGTTGCCCGCTCTCAGTTGGCGGCTCTCACTTGACACCGACCGTTAGATATCGGCCGATAAAAGTTTCTGAATTGTAAGGGGGATTTAAGGTGTATTACTGAAATAAGGAGGGATATACGTTCGCGAAGGTGTTTTTGTAGAACCAGATTGCTTCATTTTTTAGCGCTGCAGGCGAACTTTTTGAAAATTTCGGAAGGCCGTAGAAAATTCAATCTTTATTAGTCAAACGAGAAATTTTAATAAATAGGTCCAATGTTTATTTAAATTCGGCGGTATCTATTAATTCGGCGGTATCTATTAATTCGGCGGTATCTATTTAATATCTATTAAATTCCTTCATGTCCATCTATATTTCCCGCTTAACCAACTTTATCCCTCTTCCATTTTCAGCGTCGTAGGCGAAAATTTGAGAATTTTGGAAGGCAGTAGGTCAAAAACGAGATTTCACGAGATACGAAACACGAGATACGAGACGAGCGACACCCCTGGAACATACATATATGTTTCAAAAGAATCTTAGCCATCTGTTTTTCAACTCATCGATCAAATCAGGTTTACCCATTTAAAAGTACAATTTTATAAGTGCATCGAGTGCTTTTGAATGACACAATTTCATACGAATTTAATCCTCATAAAAATGACTGACATAGCTTATCAAATCCGAAATAAGGATGTTGGAAACTAATCTGATCAATCATAAGAGTTATAGCCGATCAAATTCAAAATAAAGGAAAAGAAAAAACTTAAAGTACCAAATTTATTATCAGGATTTTTCAACCTACATGTTTAAACCTCTCTCCGCAAGTTCAATTCCGAAAATTTCAGCTGTGGTATTGTAAGTGTTAACAGCAAAAGTTTCATTACCAATGGCCATTTTGGCATACTTTATTTGTGTTTCCGGGAATTGAATGTCCTTTAATTAAATTTTAAATTAATTTTAATATGATTGTTCATATAAATTCAGATAAAGTATATATAATTCAGATAAGGTTGGGGGCCGGGTTAACCACTTTGTCATGAAAAAGACACGGTGCCCAGTTCGAAAAATGAGACGCAAGAAAGACTCCTGGTCAGGCACGAAAAAATGAAGCCCGAAAAAGACTCGAATGGCTATTTCGATAAAAACGATGCCCGGTAAGGGACACGCCCGAAATGTCGCGCGGCCATAATGTCGCCGAGCCATAACTTGCTTCAAGATTTCCGAATCTTTCCAAATTTAGTATTAAACGATTCTTCTCATCGAGCTAAAGAGATTGGTACCAAAATTGATAAAAGCCAGAAATTTTTTAGCAAGTTATTGCTTCGCGACATTATGGCCGCGCGACATTTCGGGCTGTACCCGCCCGGTAAAGCTCGAAAAGCTCTTTTTTCTGGCCCGATAAAGATGAGGCCCAAGAAAATGAGTCGAACGTCGGCCCGGTACGAAAAATCCAACTCTAAATTCAGATTAAATATACATAAATGTGTTAGTTTTTTAGTTTTATAATACATTTTTATGAAAATTTATGATTTCGAGATTTATGATTTTCAAAAGTTTTTAGCTCTACCAATCTTCTCCAGGACCACATTTCAGCATAATTTAAGATACGTTCCGAAATTTCCAGAATTCTATCAAGATATTCTTTAATTTTCGATTCATCACCATTAGAGGCTACATTAGCGCATATGGTAGCTAATTTGCCCTAAAATTAATCGTTATTTAAATTTTTCGTATATAAATTACAAGTTGCATGACATCAGAAATAATTCTATTCACTATCGATTCTAATGCTACTGATTTAAATTCATATGATCTCAATGCTGATTCCAATAAGCAACTGAATGATTATTAAAATAACTTATTATATTACTTATATATTCCCAAAAAAAATTTTATCGCCGCAGGCGAAGAGAGACCAAAGGTTGGCTTATGTATCATCAAAATTCTCAAAATTTTCGCCTGGGCGCAAAAAATTGAAAAAATTTGGCTTCTTGGTCTTTAAAATTTCGCCTGCGGCGCTGAAAATTTGAGGCTTTAATGGAAAAAAATTCAAATTTGCCTCAATTTGCCTCAAATTTGCCTCTTTCTATATCACCAAAATCCTATTATTTATGCAACATAGCTTGTCTCCTTACAATTTAGCTCACCAATACACGGTCACCCAAAAATAAGCCGAATTTTTCGCCAAACCCGAAATTTTTGCCATCTCGAAACCCGTGACCCGAAATGAAAACGCTCCAACCCGATACGCGAAACAGTACTCGAAGATTTTTTGTACCCGCGGCATTCCTAGTCCTAACACAGATAACCTCGACCAATATTTTTTTCTGGATCATTACTTAAGCTCTAGCTAACCTCAAACAGAGCCTGTAAAATAAGAACTTGGTCAGATGTTATCAGGATACGAACCGAAATTGAGAAGATGGCTGGATGATGGAGTTTTGGCATTAATTTCCCGGCTCCACTTTTTTTATCTGCAGGGTAAATTTTTAAAGTTCTATGGATCAAGAAGCCATATAAATTTTTCAGCGACGCAGACAAAAAGTTTGAAAAGCTAAGAAGCCAGATTTTTCTGCCTTTGACATCTTTTTTCACTTAGTTATATATAATTTCATCAGGATCCTATAATGATGAATTTGGATGCTTAATGCAACCATGAAAAAATTATGACTATTTAGTAAGCTCCCGGCACCGCCCCGAACCAAAAGTCAACCTCGACCGCAACCCCAACACACTTCCCGGAAGGGTCGAGCTGCTACCCTAAATTAAATTTTATCTAAGAGTTACTCTTCTGGTGCTTCTCTTCTGCCACCTTTGTTGAGTGTCTCTTCGATTTGCATAGTTATGACAGTAATTTCATTATTGTTTTCTTTTATTAGTTCATTTATTCCTTTTAAATTAAATTTTTGTTTACGTTAATTATCTTGATATTAATTCAAAAATTCAATTTAAATATGTATTCTCTACTTTAAAATATTACATTATTTTGTTTAATTGTTTATTTTATTATATAAAAATACTAGTTTCAAGATCATAAAGTTGAATTTCGCTGTTCAGTTTGTTCATAAATTCTTTAAAATAATAAATTACAATAAGTATTATAATTTTAAAAAGTCTTAAAACTATTTTAAATTAAATTAAATAAATAATCTATTTTAAATACATTGATGAAATAAATATTATATAATTAGAATTGATTTTTCAAAATTTAATGTTTTTCATATTAATTGTTCATAATTATTAATTAAATGAAATTACGAATTAAATTATGAATATGTAAGCTAAATAGATAAATTTAATTTTTATCTACAATGAAATTTTAACTCTAATTTAATTAATTCATCTAATGACTAAAGTAACTTGAGAATTTAGAAACAAAGTTTTGATAGTTTAGAATTCTAACTATTTTAGTAGTTATACTATATGTATGTTATACTGAAACATAATTTTATAACCTTGTTTTCGTGAATTGTAATTTGCTAAAAATGACCCAAATTTTTTCTCATTTGGAATAAAAGCATCTAATCTTCAAAATAAGTCAATAGCCCTATTTAGTAATTTTTCATTTTCTGAGCTTGGCCATTCACAATTGTCAACTGTCATCACTTTTATTCTCTGAATATAAAATTTTAACTCTACCGTATATAACTAGTTTATACGGCAGAGTATATGGTAAATAGAGTATTAACCCCTCTAATTGAGGGCCATTTTTAACTACAAACACAAATATTTCTTTATTTACTTTAGTAACAAGTTTAATATTCTTTTTACTTTGATAATCCTGTTATTTTTGAGGCAGTCTAGAGTCAAAAAAGTGCTTAAGAGGGGGTAGGGGATTTGAGCGGATTAAAAGTGTTATCGAGACATTAAAAAATTTGTGCAGATATCGAGGGATATAATGTGTAGATCAATCGCAGGAGCAAGCGAGATTTGGAAGGATTAAAGGAAATATTAATGGATGTCGAATATCAAGGTATATTGAGGGATATTGAACATCAAGGGATATCTAGTGATCCCACCATTAAATTTTATCAGTTAAAATTTATAAATTACCATAAGTGTTAATATTGGACCGTTATATGCTATGCATATTTCTTTTAATTGTTGTTTAACGTATGCTTCGGGAGAGGGTTTAGTAGCAATATTTGCAATCTCCTGAAGATGCATCATTGTAAAAACAACATTCTGTTCAGTTTTTCCCATTCAGTTGTAAATTTCCCATTCAGTTGTAACAACATTTCCCATTCAGTTGTAAAATTTTGACCATATATTGCTGCGCTCTCGGGTCTAACTACTTGGCGTATTGTTGTTATTTTTATATTTGAATGAATAAGGACATAACATTTTGATTCTCTCGTACATCTAGGGCCAGAATACGTTGTATAGTCATCTTTTTTATTGGTAATTATAACGGTATAGTGCCTCCTAATTATGATTTATTTTAAAATTAATTTAAATATTAATAATAATGTTTTTTTAATTATTACAAGCTAAACTAAAAATTTGAAGTAACTTTATACAGAATTATTGAATAATCTTTAAATGTCCCATTTTCTTTTCTTTTGCTTTTTGATAAGCTTTAACTCTTTTATGATTGATCAGATTAGTATGAACATATCAGGGGTGTCGTTCGTGCCACAAAATACGAGAAACGAGATTCACGAGATTCGAGATTCTCATAAAAATATGATATAAAACGAGATGCGAGATCTCTCTAAAAATACGAGATTTTCACGAGATACGAGATATTAAGGGAGCCAAGTTTTTCTGAGCCGCTCCATGATTTATCATATACTCTTAAGCACTAGATATCCTACTTAATACTCACAAACCATTAATATCTCTCGAAATTGATGGATTCCCAGATATTAGTGTTTAATCGGAACCGAAATTTTGACCGGACCGGATCGAATTTTAGTTCCGGATTCCGGAACCGGAACTTTTTAAGTTCCGGCCCGGACCTTTTAAAAAATTTTGCCAGCAAATTTTAAAAAATTTTTATTTTAAGTACGGTTTTCGGTTTCGCCAAATTCTTTGCTTAACCGAAATCGAGCCGATACCGCATCGAAACTTTTGGATTGTCGGATATAAGTGTTTCATATCGGAACGTGCCAGGTGAGTGCCGCCAACTGAGAGCGGGCAACTGAGAGCCGAGCCAACTGAGAACGAGCCAACTGAGTGCGGCCAACTGAGAGCTTCTTATGAGAGGACCAACTGATCCCGTAAAAATCATTACCGGAGTCCGGCAGAATTGACCGGGATTCAAGACCGAATCCGGGATTTTTTCCATTTTTCAAGAAACATTTTTTTCATTTTTATTGTTAAAATGTCGTAAGAACTGAGGGATTCGAAGTGATTAAAACGGTATTCGAAGTGATTAAAACGAAACAGTACTCGAAGATTTTTTGTACCCGCGGCATTCCTAGTCCTAACACAGATAACCTCGACCAATATTTTTTTCTGGATCATTACTTAAGCTCTAGCTAACCTCAAACAGAGCCTGTAAAATAAGAACTTGGTCAGATGTTATCAGGATACGAACCGAAATTGAGAAGATGGCTGGATGATGGAGTTTTGGCATTAATTTCCCGGCTCCACTTTTTTTATCTGCAGGGTAAATTTTTAAAGTTCTATGGATCAAGAAGCCATATAAATTTTTCAGCGACGCAGACAAAAAGTTTGAAAAGCTAAGAAGCCAGATTTTTCTGCCTTTGACATCTTTTTTCACTTAGTTATATATAATTTCATCAGGATCCTATAATGATGAATTTGGATGCTTAATGCAACCATGAAAAAATTATGACTATTTAGTAAGCTCCCGGCACCGCCCCGAACCAAAAGTCAACCTCGACCGCAACCCCAACACACTTCCCGGAAGGGTCGAGCTGCTACCCTAAATTAAATTTTATCTAAGAGTTACTCTTCTGGTGCTTCTCTTCTGCCACCTTTGTTGAGTGTCTCTTCGATTTGCATAGTTATGACAGTAATTTCATTATTGTTTTCTTTTATTAGTTCATTTATTCCTTTTAAATTAAATTTTTGTTTACGTTAATTATCTTGATATTAATTCAAAAATTCAATTTAAATATGTATTCTCTACTTTAAAATATTACATTATTTTGTTTAATTGTTTATTTTATTATATAAAAATACTAGTTTCAAGATCATAAAGTTGAATTTCGCTGTTCAGTTTGTTCATAAATTCTTTAAAATAATAAATTACAATAAGTATTATAATTTTAAAAAGTCTTAAAACTATTTTAAATTAAATTAAATAAATAATCTATTTTAAATACATTGATGAAATAAATATTATATAATTAGAATTGATTTTTCAAAATTTAATGTTTTTCATATTAATTGTTCATAATTATTAATTAAATGAAATTACGAATTAAATTATGAATATGTAAGCTAAATAGATAAATTTAATTTTTATCTACAATGAAATTTTAACTCTAATTTAATTAATTCATCTAATGACTAAAGTAACTTGAGAATTTAGAAACAAAGTTTTGATAGTTTAGAATTCTAACTATTTTAGTAGTTATACTATATGTATGTTATACTGAAACATAATTTTATAACCTTGTTTTCGTGAATTGTAATTTGCTAAAAATGACCCAAATTTTTTCTCATTTGGAATAAAAGCATCTAATCTTCAAAATAAGTCAATAGCCCTATTTAGTAATTTTTCATTTTCTGAGCTTGGCCATTCACAATTGTCAACTGTCATCACTTTTATTCTCTGAATATAAAATTTTAACTCTACCGTATATAACTAGTTTATACGGCAGAGTATATGGTAAATAGAGTATTAACCCCTCTAATTGAGGGCCATTTTTAACTACAAACACAAATATTTCTTTATTTACTTTAGTAACAAGTTTAATATTCTTTTTACTTTGATAATCCTGTTATTTTTGAGGCAGTCTAGAGTCAAAAAAGTGCTTAAGAGGGGGTAGGGGATTTGAGCGGATTAAAAGTGTTATCGAGACATTAAAAAATTTGTGCAGATATCGAGGGATATAATGTGTAGATCAATCGCAGGAGCAAGCGAGATTTGGAAGGATTAAAGGAAATATTAATGGATGTCGAATATCAAGGTATATTGAGGGATATTGAACATCAAGGGATATCTAGTGATCCCACCATTAAATTTTATCAGTTAAAATTTATAAATTACCATAAGTGTTAATATTGGACCGTTATATGCTATGCATATTTCTTTTAATTGTTGTTTAACGTATGCTTCGGGAGAGGGTTTAGTAGCAATATTTGCAATCTCCTGAAGATGCATCATTGTAAAAACAACATTCTGTTCAGTTTTTCCCATTCAGTTGTAAATTTCCCATTCAGTTGTAACAACATTTCCCATTCAGTTGTAAAATTTTGACCATATATTGCTGCGCTCTCGGGTCTAACTACTTGGCGTATTGTTGTTATTTTTATATTTGAATGAATAAGGACATAACATTTTGATTCTCTCGTACATCTAGGGCCAGAATACGTTGTATAGTCATCTTTTTTATTGGTAATTATAACGGTATAGTGCCTCCTAATTATGATTTATTTTAAAATTAATTTAAATATTAATAATAATGTTTTTTTAATTATTACAAGCTAAACTAAAAATTTGAAGTAACTTTATACAGAATTATTGAATAATCTTTAAATGTCCCATTTTCTTTTCTTTTGCTTTTTGATAAGCTTTAACTCTTTTATGATTGATCAGATTAGTATGAACATATCAGGGGTGTCGTTCGTGCCACAAAATACGAGAAACGAGATTCACGAGATTCGAGATTCTCATAAAAATATGATATAAAACGAGATGCGAGATCTCTCTAAAAATACGAGATTTTCACGAGATACGAGATATTAAGGGAGCCAAGTTTTTCTGAGCCGCTCCATGATTTATCATATACTCTTAAGCACTAGATATCCTACTTAATACTCACAAACCATTAATATCTCTCGAAATTGATGGATTCCCAGATATTAGTGTTTAATCGGAACCGAAATTTTGACCGGACCGGATCGAATTTTAGTTCCGGATTCCGGAACCGGAACTTTTTAAGTTCCGGCCCGGACCTTTTAAAAAATTTTGCCAGCAAATTTTAAAAAATTTTTATTTTAAGTACGGTTTTCGGTTTCGCCAAATTCTTTGCTTAACCGAAATCGAGCCGATACCGCATCGAAACTTTTGGATTGTCGGATATAAGTGTTTCATATCGGAACGTGCCAGGTGAGTGCCGCCAACTGAGAGCGGGCAACTGAGAGCCGAGCCAACTGAGAACGAGCCAACTGAGTGCGGCCAACTGAGAGCTTCTTATGAGAGGACCAACTGATCCCGTAAAAATCATTACCGGAGTCCGGCAGAATTGACCGGGATTCAAGACCGAATCCGGGATTTTTTCCATTTTTCAAGAAACATTTTTTTCATTTTTATTGTTAAAATGTCGTAAGAACTGAGGGATTCGAAGTGATTAAAACGGTATTAAGAGTTGGATGAAGCGGGTTGAATTGGGATACCGATGTTATCCGGTAATCTGGACAAATATCGGTGATGCCTGATTCCGGATTTGGAAATGGAGCCGGACCTGATCCGGCCGGACTTTTCTAGATTAATCCGGTCCGAAAAAATCCAGATGGACCCTTTTATTAGTGTCTCTCAGTTGGCCGCCCTCAGTTCTCAGTTGGCCGCCCTCAGTTGGCCGCTCGGCTCTCAGTTGCCCGCTCTCAGTTGGCGGCTCTCACTTGACACCGACCGTTAGATATCGGCCGATAAAAGTTTCTGAATTGTAAGGGGGATTTAAGGTGTATTACTGAAATAAGGAGGGATATACGTTCGCGAAGGTGTTTTTGTAGAACCAGATTGCTTCATTTTTTAGCGCTGCAGGCGAACTTTTTGAAAATTTCGGAAGGCCGTAGAAAATTCAATCTTTATTAGTCAAACGAGAAATTTTAATAAATAGGTCCAATGTTTATTTAAATTCGGCGGTATCTATTAATTCGGCGGTATCTATTAATTCGGCGGTATCTATTTAATATCTATTAAATTCCTTCATGTCCATCTATATTTCCCGCTTAACCAACTTTATCCCTCTTCCATTTTCAGCGTCGTAGGCGAAAATTTGAGAATTTTGGAAGGCAGTAGGTCAAAA